CTCTCATACGCTCAGCAAATCACCAATTTGGATTTTTAAATCATAATTCAATCCTTTAAAATAAACTTTGTTCATATTATATATCATATAGACTTTGATACAATACAACTTGCATTGGCCTATAAAATGCGGCCACTGTTCAACTCTAAAAATTGCAAAGAATAAAAGATTTCAGGACCCAACAATTTGATCGAACCGACCCTAGAACAAACAATACACCAAATGTATAAAAAGGAGGAAAAAAATAAATTGCATATTTTCCGAGAGGCCATCTATATTTAATATTGTGCTGGATTTTTTTTTGTGTGCTGGGATTAAACCTTAATATATGCACATATTTTACAGGAGATTGAATATGGAAGCTTGCTGGCTTTTCATTCCGAATGTTGTAATAAGAATGTGAAACCAGAGTTACCGCGAATCAAAGGTGGAGGATCAATATCAGCTACCTCTACCTCTTGCATTGACTTGGAGATATCATCCACAGAGAATGGAATGCTACATGGGAAACAAACATAATCCATTTTATAGCTATAGAGATCAAATATATAGAGGATGCAAATTTTGACTTTGTGAACCATTTACCTTGAGTCATCGTCCAATAAAAATGAACTGCTGACAGCGTTGTTCGAATCTTCAGTCATCATGACTCTCATTCTTGCGATGACCTGTGAGTAAGATGGACTTGTTTTATGACTACCATGTACAAGCAAATTTCCAATTGAAATTTGCAGACATTAATTATCCATAATGGAAAGAGGTAGACGACAAAGACTCCTTCCTTTGTGGACATGCATAGTGAGCTTGTCAAAATCACCAGCATGTTATCAACTATCAAAAATAGTTTCAACTTCCAGGGTAATGGAGAAATGAACCAGTTACACAACTTACATCTGTTGATACAGTATGTGTGCCATATTTGTCATCCCAGTACATTGTGCTGATCCTGTATAATTGCTGTATGCTAAGCACCTGAGGAAGGAGTGCGTTTGAGTGACCATAGTCAAACATGTGACAGAAGAAAATTTTCCAAGAGGTATAAGAAACCCACCGGGCAAAGATCATTTGTTATTTCTTTCAGAGTTTTCTTAGGCTTTTGATGTATCACCTGGTTTGGCAGAAAAATTCCGAGGAGGTTAATAAACAAAATAGTGGAGCATGAAAATAAGACAACCACAAGAATAAAAAAACAAACCAGGAAGCCAACTGCTTGTCTAATGTGTTTCAGTTCATCCCAAGCTAAGCCTGCAAACTGAATTTAGAGCAGATACTCAGCTTTAATCATCCCAAAAGACAGGCAAAATATAATTTTTTGAGAATATATTTTATATTAACACCACCTCTTCTGTTGCTCCATGGCACCACTGTTCCAGCTCTGCCAACCCAGCTTTAACGTACTCCCCATTGCTAAATGAGCAACATTCACGACGCAATAGAAGGCTGCAGAAACAATTTAAATACATGCAAATATAAGTTCAACCACAATATTGCACAAGCTAAGAAGGAACCCTTCATTTTTTGAGAGCATTTACCTGTTAAACAACTGAACATTAATGAATGAAAATGTCTGACTAAACAGTTTGCGAACTAAGAAAGGAGGAGCCTGCAGGGTCACAAAACAGAAGTTAATGGTGTTGCTTTTGAGATGGTATCTATTTGGGGTTATTGTATCCTGAACCTCACTTACAAAGTTGGCCCTCAATGTCTTCAAGTAATTGTCTAGGCTTTTCACAATGCTTTGCCAGTGAGCATTTAATGCTTGTTGTGCAACAGCATTAGCTTGAGATCGTCCCTTGACTAAACTTGCCCTTGAATTTCGGGGTGCCTGCACCATAATGGATAAAATGTGAATAAGGTGAACGAAAGAGAACTACCACCAATAGAACACCTCATTCATTTCAAAGTGAAGCACCCATAAATATGAACAGAAGGAACATGCAGCATACGTTGGTCATTTGTCTACATTTTGAACTATGCAAAAAGACTGATGCCAAAGCAGCTGAAATGAGTAATTCAAAGGCATGCATCCTATTCTAATGATTGCTAGAAGTGGTAGAACAACATATAATCACAGTTACCTGAATACACTGTCCAAGCACTGGGGCAATCTCTTTTTTCAAGTTGTCTCTTATTAGTCCATAAATCTTCTCCAGGAAGGCTGTCAGCTGCTGTTTGAAAAGCAAAGCTGGATACTTAGCTTCAACTTGCCTCAGATCTTCAAATCCACCAAGCAATCGACCATTAAGTAATGAGAAACCAGCTCCTTGTGGAGAACCTCTAAGCCCCTAAGTTAGAAGGCGAAAACAATTAGAAACAAGGAACTTCATTAAACTGTAAGGCAAGGCACATCTACAAAAAAAAAATCTCATTTGGGGTAAAGAGTCTTCCTACTTGAGACATTCTCCCAAAAAGAGAAGCTGATGTTGTTCTGCGTCGCTGTGGAGTTAAGCTTGCTGCTCCACTTGCTTTCAGTGTGCGTTGGAGTAGCAGCAGCAATGTGGATGAATTAGATAACCAATAGGATAAAATGTCATTGTTATCCTGGACCTTGAGTATGACAATATCGTAAACCATGAGTAAGTAGAGCAAATAATCAATTAGAAACCTCCAGCTTTCCACTTGATAGTTATTCATTAAATATACTCAACAGTATAACCAAGTCAAAATGCATTCAAACAGACTCAACTTGATTGAGACAAGTTGACTTTCATTCATCATGGGATTCAAATATTACAATTAAACCATGCCAGAGATCTAGCTATACCTCAATAGCTGTGGTTATTGTTTGAATAACTCGATCAAAAATACCAGTTCTTTCAACCTCAAACGACCTCCAATGGAGAAGGCATTTGTATATGAGACAAGCAGCAACCGGCTTGCCCCCAGAAAATCCTAAATCTTCTGAAATACACTTGATCAGCAGGTCCTGATTCTCCTGCACCATGGAAATAATACAATATGAGAAAGAGAAACATAAATACAAAAATGTAAAATCAATTCATATGCACATTTATAATTATTCACGTTAATAAGAATGAATTTAATGCACATTAATCAGTGTGCATACCAACGAGAGTGAATCTTACTATTTTTCCAAAGAGGAAAATGCACTTACCCACATGTGGTTTGGGGTAAGTGCAGTTAACACCCAAAATCACAGAAAAAAAAAAGGCACATAAC